GGGGGGAGGGGGGAGAGAGAGAGAGAGAGAGAGAGAGAGAGAGAGAGAGAGAGAGAGAGAGAGAGAGAGAGAGAGAGAGACAGAGAGACAGAGAGACAGAGAGAGAGACAGAGAAAGACAGAGAGAGAGAGAGAGAGAGAGAGACAGAGAGACAGAGAGAGAGACAGAGAGAGAGAAGAGGAGAAAGAGACAGAGACAGAGAAGGGGGGGAAGCAGAGAAGTGGGGAGAGAGGCAGAAGCGAAGCTGCCTCTCCGAGAGGAAGATGGAAAAGAGAGAGAGCTCAGGCCGGAAGCTGAAGATCAGCCTGCCTCAGCGGAAGGGGGAGGGAGTGGGCGTGGCTTGTCTCTTAAAGGGACCAAAACCATAACAATTATGTCTGTCAGTGAATGGTACTTAGAGCGTAATTACAGATTTCTGTATAATGGCTGTAATGTAACAACGGATACTGAGACAAATATTTGGCTACAGGAAAACTTGGTGGCTTGGCTGCCCGCTCACACGAGACTTTGTGTGCCTCTTCCTCTCATCTCTTGGGCGTCCTAGACCTGAGAAACCCAGGATTGCACATCTTCACAGATGCACTCAAATGAAGGGTACCCAAGGGGTGCCTCCGGCCTGTCCAGCTAGTGGCTTTCGAGCCCACGGCAGGCTACGGCAGGCCATGGCAGGCCACGGCAGGCTAGCCACCAGGGGCTGTGGATTACAGCCACCGCTTTTAATATTTTCTCAGATTATGACTCCTGTCCTCCCGTAGACCCTCATCTTCTCTGTCCTCCGCTCAGGGAGCCCTTAGGGACCCTGACAAACTCGTTCATTGCTTGCTTTAAGATGTACATTAAGGGTTGGTGGTCCTTTTCCAATTTGCGTGTGAGTGTGGTGGGACCAGGGGACTCTAGGTCTCCCCGCCCCCGTGTTCTCCACTCAGCACCCCGGAATGGTCACTACCCAGCCCATCTCAGGTACCACCCTAACATCTCTGACTTTGTGGATAGTTTCACCAGCACCGTTCACTTCAATCCTTGGTCACAAGCCCCCTTCCCGCTTCTCTGGCGGCCCAATGCACTCCTCACAGCGGCTGTCTCTGGAGGGACACTCCTCTCCCGTCCGCAGGCACACCGTGTTCGTGTTCCTATCTTATCTGTCTTTGTGGACAGAGCAGTCGGGTCAGCTGCTGCAACTCGGTTGAAAGACAAAAGTTCTACTTTCATCACTATTTAACTTGGCGTTGCATTCTGCAGCTGCGCGATGATGATGATCGTGTTAACTACTTGAGCGCAGAAGCCGCTCACGTGGCGGGCTCCATAGCTCAGGGGTTAGAGCACTGGTCTTGTAAACCAGGGGTCGCGAGTTCAAATCTCGCTGGGGCCTACGACACACTCACTTTTTAGCTGCTTCCCAGAACGTGAACAATACCGGAATCGTGGGTGGGGAGCTAGGTTCTGGCGGTGTTACTTTTGTTACTTTTCTTCTCACGTAGTTGCAGCCCACAGCTAAATTCCTGAATCCTCTCTTGAAATCAGACCCACAGCGAATTTCCCCACGAAGTCCCCGCGTCCAGCGCTATTTCTCCGCTGTTCCCCCTCGGCACGCTCTCGGTGAGACCACCCCCAACCTCCTTTCACCCCATCCGTTTTAATGGCTCGATCCCACTTCCCCTTTCCGGATGGAGAGCTGGGCACCATCGCGTCTCTTCGTCTCCGGGCGCCAGCTTCCGGATCCCCCGCGGCGCCCGGCCCTAGGTCGGCGCCTCTGGTTGACCGCCAGGGCGGGGTGTCTCGGGGCTGCAGGTCCCTGTCGCCCCCGTGTGGAATCACAGAAAGGCAAATGCAAATGAATGCTCACGTTCCTAACATGTAGGCCCAGTGACTAACTTTTATCATTTTCACTCAATATTTTAAGAAAAAAAAATAGAACTAATTATGCTCGTTGGCTTGTACGACGTATAGAATGAGCGTAAATCCTCAGTAAATCCAGAGTGTTTGCCAAGCAAGGGCCAGGGCCAAGCTGCTGTAACAATTTCCCTGCCGAGACGTGAACAAATGTGTGTTCACTTTAGATAGGGCATTAGGAAAGAACAAACAAAAGATTCTACTTATGCTTAGTTTGGCGAACTTGCTAGCTAGTCTTATGTCAACTTGACAAACAAGAGTTATCTGAAAGGAGGGAACCTTAATTGAGAAAATGCCTTCATAATATCCGGCTGTAAGGCATTTTCCTAATTAGTTTATTGATTAGGGAGGGCCTAGCCCGTTGTGTGTGCTGCCCTCCCTGGACTGCTGGTCCTCGGTTCTGAAAGAAAGCAGGCTGAGCAAGCCGTGGGGAACAAGCCGCCAAGCAGCTCCCCTCCACCGCCTGGGCCCCAGCTCCTGCCGCCAGGGTCCGGCCCTTTTTGAGTTCCGGTCTTCCTTCAATCATGAGCAGTGCTGTGGAAGCCTAAGCCGAACAAACCCTTTCCTCTCCGAGTTCCTTTTCGGTTATGATGTTTTGTTGCAGCAAATAGAAACCCCAAGACAGCAGACAGCGAACCTATGAGCTTATGGGG